GGGTTTTTTGTTAGACATTTGTTCATAAACTTATCGTTCTAAATGAAACAGAATGCTGTAGTTTGATCATTCTCCTAGAGGATTATGTGGTGATCTGAATTGTGGTGTGTGTGTGTGTATGTGCGTGCACCTGGCTTTTATTTTTTAGACCATTTTTTGCCTCTTTTTCTTGCAACTCTTGAAAGAAGACAATTTAAAAATATATAAAAGCATTGATATTTTTCTAGTAACAGAAGCTCTGATTCTATGAATGAAGCAATGGTCTGAAACTTTGACTGTAATGAAATACTGGATCCTAATGTTACCTTTCATCACAGGCAGAGATAGTACTTTTAGAAATTGTTTAATTACTGGAAGCATTCATTTATGTTTCAAGTGTAACTGGCACTAGATCCTCTTTTGCCTCGACTTGAATGTACAGTATACTGTAGATTTTTAACAAAACAGGTTCTATATTTATTGTGTGATTTGAAAATACCTCTTTGATATTTCAATGACGTAAAGCGCAAAATCTTTATAGATTTGTAAATAGACTAAGTGGTTATGCTGAGAAACCATGAAATTAAACACGTGCGTACATAAATATTATTTTACATTGCATTTTGAATTGTTTTATAGTGATACTCAGTTTACAGATGCATTAGGACTTTCAATGGTTCAGTCAAGAACCAAAGTCTTTTGAATGTGAACAATAAATGTGTAATTCTATTCTAAAAAGCCCTGGTTCTATGTTTTGTGTGCACTAAAGGTATAAGCTATCATGGTTGTAGGGTTGTATACAACGTCTACCAATCTGGTGCTGGTTTTGTATTATGTTAATTTTTCCTTTTAATTGACTCCGGAATATTTTTTCGTGTAGTCTTTGGGGAGTCTCTTGTTTATAATGTAATAAAAATAGCCAAGTAGAGGTAAGATGTTTGAGTCTCCTTCACTTGACTAAATGCCTGTAATTTTCCTTGCCCAGTACAAATCCATCTTGCCTCTTGTTGAGTTTTTGTGTGTCTGTGATCATGTGTATAGCTCTAATCCTGGTGTAATTGGCCTTTTGGAAGATGTCTAAGAAAATTCTGCCTTTCTCAGGGTCATAGGCAGGCAATTAGCTCAAGCTTAGATTCCTTCACTGAAAATACATAGCTGCTCTGCCCATTTTCTTCAGAATTGGGTGTAATGTAGTGATTGGACTACATAGAAAAATAGCAGTGGAATAACATAGAGAAGAGAAGAAACTGGAGTTCTTCAAGAAGCGAAGGCAGAAAGCAGCAGTTTCTCCTGCTTAGTTCAGTACATTGAGTTACTGCTTGAGATGAAGTAGTAGCCAATGTAAACTGCAGAGGATACTTGTGTGGTTTTCACATGGCACCCTTCAGGAAGCAGAAGTGGATGTAATGATATTCTTGGTTGGCATTCCACTGCATGGGTAGTGGGGTTAGAAGGGCAAAACATCATATTTCTCTGTTTCTCCAGTTCTTCCCCAGTAAATGGGTGATCTCAGTCATGTCATTTGCTGCAGGTGTTTAGCAGGGTATGGTTACTGTTGGGTTTCCCATAACATGTTGGGCAGTTCTTGCCTGAATTTTAGTTATGGAAGAATAAAAACACATTGAAAAATATATTTAAATAAGCAAAGTGAAAAATGTAATATACTAAGTGGGAGAACAGTACTATGCACATGGAGTTATTTTCAAGGCAGGAGGTGACTGCAGGCCCGGAAGTCCATGGCTGAGGCAGGATCCAGATGCCACTAGGGGCTGCTGCTGCTTTAAGGTGAGCTTGGGGGTGCCTTACTGGGACACTTACATGCATTTGCTTTACTTGGGCCTTCCTTTCTTCAGACTAATTTTCTTCATAGAAGTAACTTTTAGGATAATAATGCCTTGAAGAGCAAAATCTTTTGTTTGTGTCTATAGAGTGATTAGCAAATAATAAACATTTTGTAGTAATTCTTTGCTTTAACTTTTGTAACCCATCTTATGGAAATGTATTTAAGTGCTTCCATGGGAAAAGCAACTGTGCTAGAAGGGTGTATGCAGTTGAGTCCTGAGCTGGCCTCAGGCCTGGAAGTCGGGGATATAGATTCAGTCCTGTCTCTGTAAAGAAGTAAAACAGTTTTTGGATGGCTCTATATATAGTGATTGGGAAGCTTTTATATCTGAAGCTGCTGCTAATAGTGGTATGACTGCCACAGATGGTGACAGTGTAGTACTTCATGGTGTCGGAAACAACTGCAGGATCTTACTCAGAGACTGCTGAAGAACAGAAAGGGAGGCTTCTTGCAGGAATGTAGTACAGGTGTGTCACTTCACATACTTGTATATTTGAGGTAATAGAACAAATGCCCTACCTAAGGAACAAGAAATACAGACTACCAGTGACTGATTACCATACAGCTATTGTTAGCTACCTATGCATGATATTGAAAAGATGAGTTGTTACCTTAAACTGTGGTGTTTCATTTCACAAAAATCTTTAAATATAACATTGCTGTTTTTTCAGTCTGTGATGGGAGTGCTTTTACCATAAATATTAGTCTGATTAGGTATGAGAACTTACTTTCCAGGGTTATATTAGAACTGATCATTTTTTTTACCTCTCCTCCCCAATGGTTAAGGATAATACAACGTAGCTTTTGCAATATAGACTGTACAGCAAAGAAACTAATAAATGAAAATCTTTCTTAAGAAAACTTTTTCTCCCTACAAAACAACCTTCCTCCTAATTTGGAGAACTTCTTCCACCAGATTCTACAGACTTGTAGCAGGATAAAAATATTCCTATGTGTATCAAAAAAAATCATATCATAGCTTTTTTTTCAGGGCTCATTCTGTGTACACTTCAACCAGGTCAAGGTAACTGATGTATCTAGGTAATGTCAATGCAAACATTATTCTTGAAAGGAAAATTTAAGTATATGCAGGGTAATGGCTTTGCTGTATATATTGAATTAGCAGCTTAATTATTACTTGTGCAGCTTCTTTTTTTTTTTAATTTGCAGTTATCACAACGCTTTTGTGTGTGAAGGCTTTTGCAAGACATCTTGGTTTTTAGATTTTTCCCTTCCACTGCCCCCGTCTGATTTGCCATAGAAGTAGATGACAAGGTACTAAAGGTTGACGTAGTTGGATGGAAAAACTGATCTGAAAAGAAGTGTTGAAATTAACAGATGACTTATTTATTGCTTTCAGACAATAAATCTAATCTCTAAATCTCTAATGTTCACTATGTCCTGCAAAGTTACACTATAATAAAAAAATAAAATTCCAAGGTATATATTTTGTTGTATTTTTTATACTGACACAATGTTCATGTTCCCTTATTCAAGTGTGGAGTCAAATGGAATGCATAACAGGTAACTTCATTTTAAAGAAATGTTTAACAATAAAAAATTAATTACCACTGTATGAATGCACTTGCCCCTTTTGTAATGAAAAGCTTGTCACCTGCGGCATAAAATGTGCTTGTTCCCTTGAACATTATGGATTGACAGTTGTGAAAAAGGAGACATTTCTTGCTAGTGTCTACCCTTCACCCCTCAAATGTAGGCTTCTGCAGTGAGCTGGGTGGCAGTTCCTGAAACAGAGGTCGCACAACCCAAGGTGGATTTACATCCCACATGGAATCTGTTTGAAAAAGTCAAGACTTGTGGAACTGACAACCTGGGAACAGCAGTTGCTAATGGGAGACTGTAGAAACTGCTACAATAGAAAATAAGCGTTCATTTCTAGTTGTTTAAGTGATGTTTGCTATAAAGCTTGCTCTTGTGGTTAACCTTAACAGGTAAAGTAGGAGTAGAAATAAAGTGTCTGATTACCCAGTATGTCGTAGATATTGAGTTTGAATTGGATTCATGGGTTTTGTATGACTTAAAGCCCGCAGTTTGTGTTGCCTGAATTTATTCACCCAGAAACATCCTCCAACTCAGAAGTCTGTGCATTTTGCTTGCCTTTTTTGTTGATCCAGATGCCACCCAGCTCAATTTGGGAGGTTGTGTAACTTATTTGGGGGATTGACCAGACTCATTCTTCCCTTTCTGTGATTATCAATCTATTACCATACTCAAAAAGGCCAAGTGTGTTTTGTGCACCTCTGCTTGCCTCTGTGGCCCTGACGTTTCTAGAACTGAACACTTCTGTGAATGTACTCCTGGGCTGTCACTGTAAATTGATGATGAAACTGGCTGCCAGCCTACATCAGTTCAGATACTTCGGCTGCATTTTGTGTTTAACTCCTTAGGAAATGCAAAGTTCTAACTGACCTGCACTCCCACTCCCCCTACTTCTCTGGGAAGAGTCTCTGTGGCTTTTAACTGTTCAGATTTGGCTGTCATTTACCTTGAAAGATAAAATATTTACTGATGGCTTATGAAATCTTTGTTCATTTAAAAAATATTCCTGGTCAGTGTGACCAGAGCTGAAAGGACATACTGGTCCTCTCATTTATTTAAATGAATATATGCATTCCATATGCTGGGGTTTTCAGTAGAATGTTAAATGTGCTTTGGTGCACAGAGAAATATAATAGCAAGGGACTACCTGTCCTCGTCTCCTGTCCAGAGGGGTGTCTGTAAACCAATGCTGAGGGAAGAGGAAGAACACTGTTAATGTGTTCTGGGATACTGACTCTGTTAATTGGGCCGCTATCATCTAGATATCAGTTTGGGTCACATGCCAGGTCAGCATAACCTGGGCAAAATCAAGCTAATCTGTGGCAGACCAAATGCAAGCACACAGCTGTGACTCAACCTAGGAATTAAGTAATGTGTTTATTGTAAATTCATTGTAAATGACCTAGTAAAACTTATTAGGATAAGTAGAAGCTTTTAAACAGTTCTGCAAAGGGCTTATGAGATAATCAGTGAGATGCCAAGGTATGACTTCCATTATTCTGTCTGAAGAGAAAGTATGATTGCAAAATGAAAGTGTTTACATAAACTGATAAAAAACTTGAGAATTCAGCAGAACGCAGCCACGTGTTCCTGAGCTTTCTTCCATAAAAGTCTCACCATGTCTGGCAGAGCCTCATTCGCCTTCACTATGAGGGGAATCGTATTTTTACTAGCGCTCACCCTTGTAGGTAAGGCTACATATCTCTTCTTCACCTTTCTTTCCCAAAATTTCCTTCAGTTCTGTGGCAGTGTTGGATCTAGATTGAACATTACTTATCTGCTTTTCCATCTCTTTTTACAGGTAGCCAGAAGTTTGACTTTGGTAAGTAAATTTCCTTCTATAACCTTTTCTCCCTGACTTTGCTGTTATTTCTCTTTATTAGAACATGCTTGCAAGTGTTGTGAAAATGGCTATTATTTCCCACAGACCCTGGATTCAGTAGTAGGAAGAGCTACTTGTACAGTTATGAAGGCTGGGTGTTGAATGGGCTTCAAGAAAAGAATTTAGCCAAAGCTGGCGTACGCCTGAGCAGCAAAGTAGAGATCAGTGGGCTATCAGAAAACACTTACCTCCTCAAGGTACTGCGTCTTCTTTCAAATGTGCCATGCAACGTTAAACTAAAATCACAGCTGTAATTGTACCTGGCTAATCTGGGGTGTAGGAAAGCAGCAGAAAACACAAGCGGAGACTTACCACTGTAGATGTCAGAGAATGATCTGCAAGCTACGATTTCAGAAGTGAGGAGACACTGGTGTCAGTTGTGGAAGTTGCTTGTAGCAGGTGTTCCTCGAGACTTTGCATCAGAAATACAGCTGACAGGGATTCTGTTAGAAAATGGCTGTTTCTAACTCAAGACATTTAAGCCTGCTCAGAGTTTAAGATTTGATTCTAGTCTCAGCACACATTTCCAGCTCCTGTGGGAAGCCAGGACTTGGGTGTATAAAATCATTGTCATGAAGGTAAATGATAAACATAGACTTAAAACGTGATAAGAGCTAAAGATAAAAAGTGTTATAAGAGTAAAAAATGAGAGCAATCCAAAAGGAGTATGTAACAATATTTAGTGTCTGAATAGTGCAGTAAAAGATCTGGACATGTGAAATCATGCCTTGCTGACATCAACAGTGATAGGACCTGATTCATACAAAATAGGTATGTTTCGGAAGAATACTTTTGTCTGTTTAATTCAGTCAAAAATCAGAGCTTCTTTTTCAGGCATTGAATTCAGTGACAGAGCTCTCACTGGTTATAGTTGAGCTGTAGATCTCTCAAAATTATGGGCTAGGTATTGTATTGCACACTACAGTCTTCATCCTGAAATTTTTATGTGTGTGCACTAGGCTGTGCTCTGAGGCACCTGAACTGGCAGTAACTTTGCCAAAGTTACTGAAATTGCTTCTTATTTATGTTCTATCTCAGTGTGTATAAATATATTGTTCATTATTAAAATATTTGGGTTGATTTAAGCAATTCACAAATATGAATCAAATATAGTGACTCGTTTGGTAAAAGAAAAACTGTATGGGGATATGATGTAAACTTTTTAAATGCTAAATTTTACCTAAAGCAGAATATTTATTTTAAGGCTGAAAAAAGGGAGATTTTTATTTCAATTTTTTTAAATTACATTTTTAATCATCCTTTTCCCCTATAAAGTTAATGCAAGTAAAATGTTTCAATGTCCCTGAAAGACAATAGCAATATGTTAACTGCTTCTGTAAGATAAAATAGCACTGCTCAGCCCCCAGGTTTTGCACTGGTTTTACAATAGTTTAAGCAAGAGACAAAAGAATAAACTTCTGTATGACTATCTAAGCCTATATTTGGAAGGAAAAAGAATCTAACGAGTGGTTATGTTGATTTCTTCCAATTTATCTGCATATTTAGTATCAAAGTAATTTTATTCTCCTAAGTGTCTTTTCTGAATTTCCTCCCAGATCCGCCCTCCACAATTTGAGGAATACAATGGCATCTGGCCCAGAGACTCGTTCACTCGATCTTCCAAAATCACCCAGATGGTTTCCTCATGCTTTACCCAGCCCTTCAAGTTTGAATACAATAGTGGACGGGTTGGAAACATTTATGGCCCGGAAGACTGTCCCAATACTTGCATTAACATAGTGAGAGGAATACTGAACATGATACAGATAACCATTAAAAAGTCACAGAATGTGTATGAATTGCAAGAGGTTTGTTTTTTTCCATTCTAGAACTACTTTAATGAAGGGTTGTGTTCTCTTTAATTATTCTTCCTTTGAGTTTTTGTTTATTTGCAGCTACTTTCGAATGTTCATAGTAAGAAAAAGATGATTTTCATTCATATAGAGGAAAATGTGTGCATATGCGTTGAACAAATTAACTGTGCTGAATTTTTTCTAAGACATCTCTCTTTAAGTCTTAACATGCAACCCTTTGGAGAAAAGAGAATTATTAGCTGTGAATTTATTTGTTATATGGCTTCCCTGATACAACTACTTGACCCATTTTATTTGTTAATTGTTGATATTAATTAATTGATTACTTTTTAATTTTAAACTCCATCCCCTGACTGAGTATTGTTCACGTGCCAATATTTTAGTTCAATAGGAATAATTGTGTGCAATGGCAACAGCTTTCAAAACATAATTAAGACTGTTCAGTAAGTACTAACCCTCATATTATGCATTTAGAATCTTCATTCAGTAAAACTTCTTCTCACACAGTGAAACTCTGATATAATTGGGAAGTCTCATTATCTGTGTTCATCTGCCAGGCTGGAATTGGAGGTGTTTGCCATACAAGGTACATCATCCAGGAAGACAGGAAGAACAGCCGGGTCTCTGTTACCAAAACCATAGACCAAAATAACTGCCAGGAAAAAGTGGTGAAGAGTGTTGGAATGGCTTACATCTATCCTTGTCCTGTTGACATGATGGTATGTGAGATGTGACAAGATCTTCCTAGTTACAAGCACGGCCATTCTGTACCCATTCACTCTTTGTTCTCTGCCTCCCACAGAAAGAAAGGCTCGTAAAAGGGACTGCAGCTTTCTCCTACAAACTGAAGCAGTCAGACAGTGGTACCCTGATCACGGAGGTGGTGTCTCAGCAGGTGTATCAGTTCTCACCACTCAGTGAACCTACTGGTGTTGCTGTCATGGAAGCAAGGTAGGTGGAACATGGGCTTATTTCACAGAGTGAGAATAATTATAGGTTCTATCACTCCCTTTCTCTCCCAATTGAAGTGAAATGAGAATTGAGCTCCATAGGAGTTGGATAAAGGTCTGAGTACTCACTCTTGGGATTTCCACAGTCCTTAAAGTTCAGCAAACCATTCTTTATTTGTACTCTGGTCAAGCTGGCACTACAACTACATGGGAGAAAAGCTGTTTTTCTTGCTTATACCGTAAGAATGCAACTTTACTGTTCTGCTTGTCTTGAAAAAGGGGTAATTGATAGTGTCAGGAGGAAGATGGTGCACATAGAAATAACATCATTCATTACACTGTGTCGGTAGCTCTCACGCAGAAGACGGAAATTTCACTTCTTGGAAACAATTCCATTGTAGATAACTCTAATACCATTTTGTTTCAGATGGAAGGCTTTATTCATTAGCAAAAGGTTTTACTGTGACAAGAAAAATTATTAAGGAGTAAAACTGATACCATCACAGTATCACTGAAGCAACAAGAAAAGAGCTAATGCCTTTCTCCCATGACACTTGTCTCTCGACAGACAACAACTCACCTTGCTTGAAGTGAGAAGTGAACGGGGCAGCTCCCCGGACCTTTCCATGCAGAGCTATGGAGGCCTGCGTTACCAGTTCCCAGCAGAATTGCCACAGATGCCATTGCAGCTAATCAAGATGAAAAACCCTGAGCAACGGGTATTTTTAGGCCTTCAAACTGATTTCCTAATAATAAAAAACTCCAAAATAATAATTATCATAAATTCTAAATAATGTAATTATGTAAGCCCTCTCTCTTGTGTTTTGTAACAGATAGTTGAAATACTGCAACACATAGTCCTGAATAACCAACAAGATTTCCATGATGATCTTCCATACCGATTCCTGGAACTTGTCCAGCTCTGCCGGATAGCAAGTGCTAACGTGCTGGAGTCCACCTGGAGACAATGTTCAGATAAACCCCGCTATAGGTACTTCATTGTATCAACTCGTAAGAAACTTTTCTGGCTTTGGAGAATTGAGAGTGAAAATCAAGGAATTTTTTTTGCTTCTACTTGCAGGCGATGGCTGCTGAGTGCAGTTTCTGCAACAGGCACCACAGAAGCACTCAAATTCATTAAGAGCAGAATCCGCAATGATGACCTTAACCACCTTCAAGCTCTTCTAAGTGTTTCCTTTGCTCTCCATTTAACCAAAGCTGATGAACACACTGTTCCAATAGCAGCAGTGAGTAGATCTACGTGAATCCTTCCTGTCTGATAACAAAAGGAATGATAATTGATGACATCCTTTGATTATTAAGCACATTAGAGACTGGATTCTCCTCTCGTATACACTAATTTTGTGCAAATGTTGACCTGTGAGTTTCTTTTGGCATTACATTTATGAGAGGAGAGTTCAGTCCTCTGTCTTCATTTCCCCGCATTAATATAAAGCCCATTTTGGTTTGCTGGGATCACATGGCATGCCTTCTACAGACAAAACTTTGTCCACTTCAATCTCCTACTTCTGCAACAAATGGTCATTTGTGTGTTATGTCACTTGGACAGCTCTTTTAATTGTGAACTGTCCCTACAAACAGGAAAGTGCTGCAAGTGAAAGTATTTGTGCCAGCATCAAATATGTTGACACTATAATGAATCATTTATTCTGAACAGGATTTTTGCTGTCTCTAGTCTATATTCTCCTTCTTAATGAGGAAAAGAGGATATGAGAATGCATTATTAACATAACTGAGTTGCACACTTCTCTAAGGATATTCCATTTTTGCAGTGATGTGTATCCATAATCTTTGTGTTTTGAGTGTCATGTTCAGTTGAGGGACAATGTAAGCTTATATACACATATATATTGAAACTAGCAGGGAATTAAGCTCCAAAGTGAAACTTCCAAACAAAATGTCTACAAGCTACTTTAATTTGTTTGGATACAACAATAATTATTCTGAAATTGATCCCCTCAGATCTGATGAGTTTCCTGCTCTGAAAGCTTTGTGAAGCACTGTATTAAATAACAAATTTTTTTTTTCCTCATAGGATTTAGTGACCAGTTCTCGAATCCAGAAAAGTCCCCTACTTCAACAAGTTGCTAGCTTGGCATACAGTTCTGTGGTCAATAGATACTGTTCTCAGACCTCAGCTTGTCCTAAAGAAGCTCTCCAGGTGGGTGGCTTTTTTTCAGGTTTTTTTTTTAATAGCTTAGTAATGCTTATTTTATTACCTTAATTCTATTAAGATACAGTATCAAAATGGCAATTGGACATGCACATACACATTTCGTAAGTCTCCTTCAGAACCAAGGCAATTAATTGTTTTATTAATGTAGATACTGCTTCAGCGTTGAAAACAAAATTTTCACATTGCAAGGGTAAAATCCTGAGAGAAGCCACCACTGAGTGATTTTATTAAAACCAGTTGCTTTATTGTGATAGGGTTTTCAGTGGGTAAGGGGAACACTGTGGACAATCTGTACATTAGGAAGAGAAGATTGAACTATGCTTTGTCTATAGCCCATCCACGACCTGGCAGATGAAGCGATCAGCAGGGGCCGTGAAGACAAAATGAAATTAGCTCTGAAGTGCATTGGCAACATGGGAGATCCAGCCAGCATCAAGCGCATCCTGAAGTTCCTTCCCATATTTTCATCCAGTGCTCCTGATATCCCCATCCACATTCAGATTGATGCCATAATGGCCTTGAGAAAAATAGCTTGGAAAGACTCCAAAACTGTAAGTAGGATCTAGTAGCTTTTCTTTACTTAGTGAATTAGACAATATATACTGTAAGCGTAATGAATTTAATGGTATCATGTATGTGGATTCAGCATGTTTTAAAAAAAAAAAAGATTATTTTTAAGAAAAATATTTTACAATTTTATATTCAGCTGATATTTTCTGCTAAGGTGTAATGATTATTAGTCAGTAGGAAGTTTCCAGAAGGATATTAGCAGTATTGCTTTCATCATCTGTCATAACCAATTAAGTCCTGTGTTAGTTATATTTAGTGGACATTTAGCCGCCTAAAAGTCAGCCATATAATTTAAACTGCCTCTGTAGTAAGGAGGAGAGAGAGAGAGACTTTCTGTTAAACTCCTAGACAAAATATCAGCATTGCTCTGCCTCTTTTAGACCCCTTCCTTAAGGTTGGATGAGTCACTACTGACCCCCTACTGAAGTTGCTTTCACAGTAAGTGTAGGCAAGACTCCTGCCTTTCAGATGGTTTAGGTTTAAGACCTCTATGAGAAACAATTCACTCAGACTGTCTTTGGCAAACTGATGAAGCTCCTCTTTTAAAACTGGTCTAAAACAGTGAAGCATGCTTACTTATTCAGTGGAGTTACTCCAAAGAATGAATCTGTCTTATTATCTACAGTTGTTTCTTCCAAAGTTATTCACTAATCTTTGAAGGGCAGTAATGCACAATGCAATGCTGATGTCTTTTTGACTGTGGTGAGTTGGCTCAATACACTGATAGATGGACATTTATTTCAGATTCAGTGCCAGGTCTTCTCCATGATGCTGTTGAACCATGGCCCCTTCAGTTGTCTGAATAAAATGATGTGGAACCATGCAGTAAAAAAGATCAGGAAACCTTTCTGCAGGGATAATGACACCCTGTCCCACATTTCTTGTGGCTTAGGTGTGGACTGAGTTTGCAAAATTGTCTCAATTATTTGGTAATTCCAGACACTGTTTTCTCTCTGCAGGTGCAGGGATATCTCATCCAGATCCTTGCAGATCAGTCGCTTCCCCCTGAGGTGCGCATGATGGCTTGTGCCGTTATCTTTGAGACAAGACCTGCCCTTCCTTTGATAACAACGATAGCCAATGTGGTGATGAAGGAGAGCAATTTGCAAGTGGCAAGTTTCGTGTATGCCCACATGAAGGCTTTGGCAAAAAGCAGGTTGCCGTACACGTACAACATGTGAGTAGAGACAGGAGCAAAGCAGGTGATCTTCTGCAAATGAGTACTGTTACATTCTTTTTGGTGAGCACTGCATGTGCTGATAACTGAAGACAGTTTATATACTGATGGGGTGCAGCTTGTTTCTGGATATTATTACCTTTCTCATTTTGTTTAGATCTTCAGCTTGCAATATCGCCCTTAAGATGCTGGCCCCCAGATTGGACAGGCTGAGCTATCGGTATAGCAAGGTGATACGTGTTGGTGCTTACTTCGGTGAGTAAAAGTGTTTCAGGGACCAGGAAACTTTCACTTCAGAAATCCATTCTTAAGAGATATTAAATCCTTTGGAGAAATAAGGCATTCTCCATTTCAATGAGAAATTAAATTAAATATGAGGGTCGCATGTTTAAAAGTGCATGTGTAGCCATATAATAATTTCTGACTAAACAAGATTTATGTAATGATATATCTTACATATCATTACATAGTGTATGATATATCAGTGGAAAAATCTGCAGAAATATGATCTTGAATGACAAGCAGAATGGTTAGAAAGAAGACGTGTCTCTTGTTTACTTCTACCGTAGATAACTATAAAGTTGGTGCTGCTGGAGACATCTTTATTATGAACAGCCCAGGAACAATGTTCCCATCAGCAATAATTTCCAAGCTGATGGCATATTCTGCAGGGTCAGTGGCTGATTTGGCAGAGGTAAATATTTGCCTAAATCAATGATAAAACAAAATTAAAACTGATGACAAAGTGTCACCTCTGTAAGTATGTTTCAGACTGCTCCTTCTCATGCTGTTTTGGTAGGCTGGTGTCCGTGTGGAAGGCCTCACAGATGTCATCATGAAACGAAATATCCCATTTGCTGAATATCCCACATACAAAAAGATAAAGGAGATTGGAAAAGCTGTAAGTATTTTCACTAATGCAACGTGTGGGTTATATAAGGGGGTATTTAGTGAAACTTCTTGTACTAGTGAGGCTGTCTCAGAAGATAAATTACTCTCCTAGCAGTCAGCTCAAGTATTTCTGTGAAGGGGAGATATGCAGTGGGTCATCAGGGGACATCTGCCATGGCTGAAATAGCTTCTACCAGTTCTTTCTCAGGCTCTGCCTCCTCCCCACCTCACAGATGGCTGCAGAAGGAGCACGGGAGGCGAGGGAAGTGGCAGGCATTGCAGCGTGGTGTGTCACATGCCTGGCAGGCTTCCTACTCCCTCCCTTCATCTATCTAACCTAGTTTACAGGAATATACCTTTGTCTTGAAGAGAAAAGATTATTTTTTTTTGCTGGTTTTTTCCAACTAGGTTTAGTGGTATTAATGGTCTAGAGCTTCTGTGTAAGTGTTATTGCATTGGAATACCAAACACTAGACTGGAGCCTATTCATGGGCATCTCAATGGCAGGAGAAAGTCTGAATTAGTGCCACCATGCTATTTATGATCAAAAATTTTTCGATGGAAAATGGCAGCTTGGCCAGTGATGGGTCTGGTCACCTTGCTGAATTACCATTTGTAAAGCGTTGCATTAAGAAACTTTGCTTGTTTCTTTATCTGTTCATCAGCTGTTGGGATGGAAGGAGCTGCCAACAGAAACTCCCTTGATATCAGCCTACTTGAAACTCTTTGGCCAAGAGCTGGCCTACATCAACATCAATAAGGAAGTCCTACAACAGGCTGTGAAGGTACCAGACACCCTTACTTCTCTTTGCAATATTTGACACCATTGTACTTTCATATCCTAACCTTGGATGTCTGTTTTATTGCAGACTGTGCTAGAACCTGCTGACAGGAACACAGTGCTGAAGAGACTCATTAGCCAAATCCACAGTGGCATTGCAGGACAATGGACACAACCAGTGTGGCTGGGAGAGCTGCGATACATCGTGTCTACCTGCACCGGTCTGCCACTGGAGTACGGATCATACACGGCTGCTCTGGCCCGGGCAGCAGTCAGCAGTGAGTTGGGCAGTGGGAGATCCAGCTGTGTGTGTGGTGGGAGCAGGTGCTGCACTGCGGGGTCAGGCTGCCCCCTCGGGAGGGGACCCTGACAGACTGGAGCGGATGGCCCAACAGAAGTGTGATGAAATTCGACAAAGGCAATGCAAAGTCCTTCACATCTGGGATGGAGTAACTCTTGCGAGTGTATAGGCTGGGCGTCACCCAGACAGAAAGCAGCTTTGCAGAAAAGGACCAGGAAGGCCAGCACAAGCTGGTACAGTAAACCAGCAGTGTGCTCTTGTGGTGATGAAGGCCAACTGCATCACTGGCTGCAGAAGCAAGAGTAAAGCTAGCATGACAATGATTTGCACATTTGAGACTGCATCTGGAGTACAATGTCCAGTTTTGTGTCCACAGTACAAGAAAAATATTCACACTTGATGTGAGGAAAGATTAGAGAGCAAGAGTTGTTTAGCCTGGTTGTCCTTCATCCACTCTGTCTTCCGACTCCCCACATTTCCAAAATTTTAGTGTTATAGTAATTATCAGACTTTTGATTTGGGTCAGTTCTTCATTTTTTTAGTATATTTTTATTTCCATTTTCAATACATTGCATCAGAACCTTTGTCTACATAATGATCTTTCTGTATATTTTCAGTATTTTTCAGACTCATAAAAGATCTCATTTACCCCAAAGTCTGTCTTGTTTACCAGTCTTATTTGTTGTACTAGCAAAAATATTACCTTGTACTGAAAACTGTCATTTGCTTACGTTCAAATCCATTCTTTCGCTTTTACCATGTTTAAATGTACTCTTGCATTTGCAGTTGATGGAAAGATAACCCCCCCTTTAACTGGAGATTTTAGACCTTCACAGTTGCTTGAATCCACTGTGCAGATTCGATCTGACATAAACCCAAGGTATGGGAGGTTTCTAAGACTTTACATATGAAGGAGGCTTTAGGAGAAGGCAGAGTCACACGTGTAAAAAGAGCACCTTTCTTGCATCTGACTGCTTCACTCTTGTTTCAGCTTGTATGTACAGACAGTTGCAACAATGGGTGTCAACACAGAATACTTCCAACATGCTGTTGAAATTCAAGGCAAGGTCCTGACAAGAGTGCCAATGAAGTTTGACACCAAGATAGATATGAAACTGAAAAATATTAAGATTGAAACAGATCCATGTCATGAGGAAACTGAAATAGTGGTTGGAAGGTATGGTAGCTTTACTTCAGAATACTTCATATTGCTGAAACCTGATGAAGTTCACCAATCACTGACCTCCTACAGGGGTTTCTAGATAGGCAGAGTGACTCTTCAATGTGTAGTGGAACCTCTGGTATGAAGTGCAAGGAAGAAAAATAGGGGAGCTAAAAATCAAAAGATACCTAAACTATTTAGCAGCTTAATTTTTACTTTAATTTGTTTATTATTTTGTGTTCTTACTATTTTTCCATTATTTTATTGTCCTTTAAGGATTTTAATTTTTATGTTTGAATGATTTTTTTTTAATTTCCAAAAAGTTAAAATTTAAATTTATCCAGATTTTGAAAGCTTCACGTGATATAAGGAAATTACATTTGTCATGAACTCTTACTTGTTTTCAATAATATTTATATTTATTAATTCATATATAATCCCTATGTTTAAATGACAGATCTCTGTGCTGTCTTGTAATACTGACAGGGACATATTTAATTTAACCCAAAGACAAGAGGTCAAAATAATTCACCATTTTTTGCACATATCTCAACAGACATAAAGCTTTTGCTGTATCAAGAAATATAGGAGAACTAGGTGTTGAAAAGAGAACCTCAATTCTCCCAGGGGATGCTTCATTAAATATTGTGGAAGAACCTTTCAAACCATCAGAGAGAGCTTCCAGTGAAGGTTTCACAAAGGTAACCTATTGCTTTTTGCTTATATGGTAATATTTACCCTCTCTGTAATGCGTGTCTGTAGTTTTATTCTCACCTATGACATACTCTCGGTGGTATTCACACACTCATCTCTAATGCAGCAAGAAGCCGACAGCATGGCAAGGAAACATGCTGATAGCTCTCAAGAGGATCTTCGCCATGTCACAGGAAGAAAAACCCATAAACGAGACATTTGTGTCAAAATGCATCACCTTGGTTGTCAGCTCTGCTTTTCCAGAAGGTCACGAGATGCCAGTTTCCTAAAAAATACATATTTGCACAGATTAATTGGAGAACACGAAGCTAAAATAGTCTTGATCCCAGGTAAAATGCTGAGCATGAGCCTTGTCATCTTAGGTTTTTCAGAGCTATTTGAAGCAGTATAACCTTCTAATGTGTGCAATTGGTGTGTAGTTGAAACAGATGCTGATATTGACAAAATTCAGCTGGAGATTCAAGCAGGATCCCGAGTGGCTTCCAAAATAATTCAAGAGGTAAACTCAGAGTCTAAGGAAGAAGATGAACCATCTCTATATAAGGACATTCAAGCTAAACTGAAGAAAATTCTAGGCATTGAAAATGTGTTCAAGGCAAGTGACTTTGAAAATTAGAGTGGGGACCATTTTCCCCTAAATGAAGCCAAGAATTTGAAGTTCAGTGTGGAAAGATGGCATGGGAAAGAAAGGGTGAGGCTGGTTTGAAAGGTGCCAGTGCTAGGCCTGTCAGTCAGTGCTACCTCTGGAGGGATTGATTCCTTGGGGTGCAGCCAGCTAAGTCTTCTGTGCTGAGCTAGATTTCAGCTTGGCAGAGTGGATCAAAGGGAGTTCTGCAGATTCTTCAGTGAGTGAGGCAGGGAGGTGGTTGTTCCTTGAAAGGCTGATGTGAGAAGCTTGTCTGACACCCTCAGAGGTTTTACTTTGTAAATACAGAACCAGCTGTATCCTCTCTCTTACACTTCTCTATGAACTGTTTTTGCAGGTTGCAAATAAAACACGACACCAGAAGAAGAGACCTTCAAAGAAAGAAAACGTTGTGCTAAGAGAGCTTGGGACAGACCCTGATGCAAAACGTCCCTTCAGCTCATCTTCTGCCTCCTCAGCTGCCTCCTCTTCCTCATCATCTGCCGTTTCTCCTGATCATAAAAAGGCTGTGGATGAAGATGAGAATGATCAAGAAAAGCAAGATACAAGCAGCAAGAGCAGCAGTAGTGGTAGAATTAGCAAGAGCAGCAGCAGCAAGAGCAGCAGCAGCAGCAG